GTTAATATTCTTGTTTTAAACCAAACGTTTATTGTGTATGACAGAGACTGTGGGCCAGGGTTGGTTATCAGCTGTGCCAGGGATGGGTGATGGCTGCTCTCGCTCACGCTGCAAGAACACTGCTGCTTTGCATACCCCTGCTTTGTGTACCCCTGCTTTGCTCACTGCTGTTTTGCTCCAATTAAAGCTTGTGTGTTTTCCACATGCCTAGCCGACAGCTTTCTTTGCCTACAGTTGGCTCTGATTACAGCTGGCTTTGCCGATAGTCGGCAAGCGCTAATCTTGTCTTTATATGAATTGTCCTGTACTGACATAATTGTCATATTTATTGAATGACTAATTATTTTTTATATTTATTATTATGTTTAAGGAGTGATTGTGTATTGCGAGTGGGTTCAAACTTTCTCTCATCCATGGTGTCCCTGAGTTTATTTCACAGATCTGATAACTCCACATGGGCGATCTAGCTTGTGTAATTGTCACTTTATTAACTTTATTTCAATTTACTTTGTTCATGATTTATCCTAAAGTGTCTGATTATTTCATCCATTGGGTGTTATTTGAGCAGTCCTCTGCCTGCGAGGACCCTATTGTTTTTGCTGCGTTTATTATTATTTCTTTGTTTCTTTCTTTGTTTGTTTCTTTCTTTCTCCCGCCGCCTCTTTGAGCTGGAATTTGACCCCCTAAACATGCTCAAAAACTCACCAAAATTGGCACGCACATCAGAACCGGTGAAAAATTTTAGAAAATCATGACATTAACCCCTAAAGTGCCAAAATGGGCTCTCTAGCGCCACCTAGGCACACAAAAATGGCCGCCACGGCCTGTAGGAACGTCGTAGAAACATGAAACCAAAAGTGGCGTGTTCGTCTCATGAAGACCTAAAAATCACGCGCTGACACCCCTGACCTAAATCCAACAGGAAGTGAGCTATTTGCCCTTTCAAAGTAAGATTTTGCCTTAAAACTGCCTTTCCTAAAAAATCTTCTTCTCATACACCGCTTATCCAATCGGCTTCAAACTTGCACAGATGACAGATCAACTCGTTCTAATCAAAAGTTATTCGTAACTTTTTCATTACTCGCTTAGTTTGGATTTTATGGGCTCCATAAGGTGAGATGTCAGAAAAACGTCCTGGCGATCTTCGAAAGCTGTCCCATAGGAAATGAATGGCAGCAGGGGGGAGAAAGACACCAATCTTAGGGCTTTTTCTAGCATTTACAGCGTCTCCATACTTTGTGCTACAGACTCCATTCCAACTCTCAAATGTTGCCACAGGTCTCATCTATTCACTCATGTTTTCATCTTTTTCATATCTTTTACCGTTTTTCATCTGTGCCTCTCAAAGTACCATGAGCAAAAGTGGAGAAATTCTCAGTTTACAATGGGTGTGTATTGCACGGAATGCTGTGAGCTAGAGTGGAGAGGGCTCTAAAAATCGTCTAAAACTTTTGTCTTTAACTCGCTGCCATGGCCACAATTTTCACTGTACAGACACAATTTATACCACAAAACGTAGGAAAATTTGTCCTGCTCACAGATATGTTGACATGGAATCTCTCACACGTACACATTTTTGCTGAGTGGCTCCAAAGCGAAGGGAGCGCTGATTTTTTTCTCATTCACTCCCATGTAAACTCAGAGGAGAAATTTCTGGAAACAGCTGGGGTGCAACACATTTTAAACTCGCTCCCCTGACCACATTTTTGACTCGAGAAATATAAAACGCGACACGTGCGTTCACGAGACGTGGCTGTCTCTCAAAATCACTTTATTTTCTTGCTTGGACCAACGGTTTGGGTATGCGAAGCATTTGTTCGAGGAGTTAAATCCCTTTATAAACAGCCTTTGGTGATCTGCTCTCCTGACGTGTCTGTGTCTGCCACAGGTGCGGGCAAGTCATTAATCGCCATGACAACGGCTGCACACACAGACACAGCCACAGGGTTCTCTGGTCTGTGTGTCTCACAATCTTTAAAGGACAGATTACAGCAGCAGAAACTTCATTTGAAACAGAACACACACATTATTAACCCCTAAAGTGCCAAAATGGGCTCTCTAGCGCCACATAGGTGCACTAAACTGGCCACTGCAGCCCGTAGGAATGTCGTATCAAGATCAAACCAAAACTGGTGTGTTTGACTTACAAATCACGCGTTGACACCCATGACCTAATTCCAACAGGAAGTGAGCTACTTGACCTTTCAAAGTAAGATTTCACCTCAAACGTGCTCTTAAAAAAACACATCTCCTCCTACACCGTTTATTGTATCGGCTTTAAAGACGCACACATGACAGCTCAACTGCTGCTAAACAGATCTTCTGTATAACTTTATCTCTCTCATCATCACATTTTTTTCATGATTGGACCAACGGTTTGGGAATGGGAAGAACTTGTTCGAGGAGTTAAATCTCCACTACAACAGGTCTCTCTCTGTGTTCTGTCTGTCTCTCTCTGCTCTTCTCCCAGGTGCACCTACTTCATCACCATGGCAACCGCTGTCACACACAAACTCACAGAAACATGATGTGTGTGTGTGTCTAAATCTTACATGCAGATATGACAGGGGCAGAATCTCCATTTTGACCCTTTAGGTGCCAGAGTTTATTGAGGAAAAAAAATTCCATTTTCATTTCAACATTTCAAAAGGCTGTGGCTTGAAAGTGGTGAGACATAAAGGCATACTGTAAATGACAAAACTATTCATCATGACCCAAAGTTTGTCATGGGAGTAAATTAACTCATCTAATTTGCATATTGTGGGGTCACTAGGCGGCGGCCATATTGGATTTCATAAATATCAGTAAAAAAGCCTTTTGAACATATTTACACAGTACATTTATTTTATTTTGTGCCGTTTTTGTCATCTCAGCCTCGAAATAAGGGAACAGGAATCTGATGGGAGTAAATTACCTAATCTAATTTGCATATTGTGGTGTCACTACATGGCAGCCATATTTGATTTCATGAATCTCAGTAAACACCATTTTGAACATATTTACGCAGTACATTTCGTTTGTTTTGTGTTGTTTTTGTCATCTCGTCCTCAAAATAAAGTAAGAGGAATCTGATGGGAATAAATTAACTTATCTAATTTGCATATTGTGACATCACTTCTACATACCTACAGCTACAGAAAGCATTCAAACATCAAAACATTCAGCTCTGTAAGGATTTTCTGATGTTTGTGGCAATATGTTTGATATTTCTAAATAATTCACAATGACGACATAAGCTGGGGGCCGAAATGGGCACGAGTGCGAGGTCCCGCCAAACGCTGCTTGCAGCTTTAATTACAGTTTATTTTGTTCATTCCGCCTAATTACCCATTAACCCGGATGTCAACTTAAAGCAATTAACTGGTTTATTTAGTTGCTTTTGGACAAATTTACAACCAAGTGACTGCTTATACCATGCAATTATCATTTTAGATGATCTGTTTAGTTCCCTTTATTATTTTATCGCTAAATTGTAGGTTTTTGACCCACATACATCCGTAGACGCTCAATATTTGTTTTATGGCGCAGGTCAAGATCATTTTCATCAATCTGATGGTAGTACTGATCATCTGCTTAAAAAATCCAGTAATATGTCCTGTTGTGACAAAAAGAAAGATTTCAAGGCAGGTTTGGGGGGTTCTCCCCCAGAAAAAACTGAAAATTCATGCGGTGAAATCCTATTTTCATGCAATTTCATACAGAAATAGATAATGGATAATAGACAAGTGCATTACATTAGCCTACCTCATCATGTTCTTATGTAGTAGGATGCCTATTAGAATTACTCTCTTCTTCTTGCCTCAGTTTTTTCTTAAAGAAATTTAGCAGACTCATTTAACAAAAAGTTTTTTCATCATAAGTGTGTTTTAGTTATTCAGGCAGGGCACGTGGTTTCATAACACAGTTAAATGTAAATGCAATTTGCTTACCTTGGTAAAATTCCAACCAGTAATATATCAATGACAGGCGACTTCCACGCTATTTACTTTGTAAGCCAATAGGCAAGCAGTGTAGGAGACTAGGGGAAGGAAGAAGTTGCATGAAGTTCAGGGTAGCCCCATGAGACCTAAACTTGCTTTCTGAGAATAGTATGCGGTCCGGTCAAGCCACACAATGGGCTGGACTTTAAAAAAAAACTCCAGTGGCCCCAAGCCTGAAGTCAAACACGAAGAGGGGCTCAGAGGAGATTTCCGCAGATTATCTCATGACATTATGATTTTGCGATCCGCCAATTCCAGCCGCTTGTGTGCGCGCCCAGTTCCCAGTGGACACTGACACCCAGCATAGGATGGAGCAAGTCTGCACCACAGCCGAATCGCGCATGATCCAGTGGACATCCGGCGTGAGATTTCTTTGGGGTCATCCCTATATTCCCCGGGTTCTATGTTCCCCAGGTTCTATGTTCCCCGATCGGGGAACATAGGACCCTTTAAAAAAAAAAAAGGGTCCTATGTTCCCCGCTTTCCCCAAAAGGAAATATGTTCCCCACTTTGTATGGGACCGGGGAACATAGAACTCTTTTTAAGAAAAAGGGTTCTGTGTTCCCCGCTGTTGCCGGGGAACACAGGACCCTTTTGAGAAAAAGGGGTTAGGGTTAGGGTTAGGGGTTAGGACCCTTTTTTAAAAAAAAGGGCCTATGTTTCCCAGGTCCTTTTGGGGAAAAGCGGGGAACATAGAACCCTATGTGTTCCCCGGTCCCATACAAAGCGGGGAACATAGGACCCTTTTGGGGTCCCATACAAAGCGGGGAACATAGGACCCAGGGAACATAGGACCCGGGGAGCATAGAACCCGGGGAACATAGGTACGCTCCCATTTCTTTAACGGGCATGAGAGAGTGACATTGATGGTGAAAGAGTGGCAGTCATGCCAGATGCGTGAGAGAGGCAACCCTGGAAAGAATCCCTAATCTTAGCTCACCCGAAAATTAACCCATGTGGACCTTATAAATACCACACAGGCGCATACACACACAAACACACAGTCATGTATATAAATACCTCCCAGGGTTGAACTGTGCCTGGTGTCTGGCAGTCTCTGCTCCTGCAGATAGACACCATAGCCTGAGCGATGGCACTCACAGCCATCTCAACACTGAAGACAGTGTCTACATGAATGTGTTTTCTAAGGGTATTCACAGCTTTAGATGCCAGCTCAGCTCCTCCAGAACCTTCACTGGCATTTAGACGCATGTAGAATTCCTGCATGAAGGTGTTATTCCTTGTGTAGTCATGTCCAGCTGCCTCCAGTCTGCTCAGGTACTCACTGAATGACGACAGGTCTCCACTTTTGAAGGTAAAGCCAACAATGTGTCCAATGTCCTCCAGAGTTGTGTGTTTTATCACAGAGCTGGAGGAGGACCAGCTGTCACTGGCCACCCAGACTCTTCTCATTGACGCCATGTTCTGTCCTGCTCTCAGTGTCTGATTCTTAAGCTCCTGGTAAAGGTGCATCATGAGAGTCGGCTTGGCAAATGACACGATCACCTGTACCTTGGGGTTGGTGAGGATGGTTGTGGCAGTCTGTGAGATAGCAGAGCCCACATCCTGACTAGTTACAGATTGTGGTAGGATTGATTTGAAGGCCATGCAAGATCCCCTTTTCAGTAGCCTGGGAGAAAAAGTGGTCAAGAGCTGATAGGCTGTAATTTCCATCTGTGGTTACTACTCCGACCCAGTTCCAGTCATAGGTGCTGAGCAGACTGACCATAGCAGCTGTCTGATGCTCATCATTAGGAATGGTCCGCAAGAAGGCAGGAAAGCGGCTCTTATCACTTAGAATTACAGCAGTTGATGAATAACTGATCTGGAGGAAAGAAAAGAGATGTCTCATATCAATCAATCAACCAATCAATCAATCAATCAATCAATCAATCAATCAATCAATCAGACAATCAATCAGACAATCAATCAATCAACCAACCAATTAACCAAACAATCAATTATTTGCCACTTGGAATTGTACAAAGAACAACTGAAATGTGATCCTATTAGCTCCTTTAACTTTCTAACTATATTGTTGACTGCTGCTTTATAATTCTCCATGCTTCCAGATCGTTCTGGTAATCCATGGTTTCTAGTTGTGGTATGATTTAACTGTCCAAACATCCCAACATCAACAAGACAGCCACCTGGTCACTCTGTGCCGCTCTGCAGCTGCCTCAGAACAACTTATAGCAGTGATCCACAGCAAGAACAGGATAGCAGCTCACATTCCCACCTGTCCGTATTCACCACAAAGCACAAAGCACCACCTCTCCTTCTCTCCCAGAGTCCTCTGCTTTGTCAGATCACCATATAGAAAAAGAGTCACCTGGTAGGCGCTATCCAGGATTTAGCCAAGATTCAGTTAATCATAGAATATTACAGTTCCTGATATCCCGTTGGAAACTGATGTGGCACGGACGTGATCCAGTTAATTTCCAAAGCCTGTAAAATGGCTAACAGGGTGGTACCTCAGCTGGTGCCCTCTGCTGGATGTTTACTGATGTTTACATTTGAAAACCTCAACCTGGCTAGCCAGCAGAAGTCAACACAAGAAGAGCATACAGACTCGTGAGTTGATTTCCTCATCCTAATGAGTGATTTGCTGCCAGCTATCATTGAAAACCACCCACAAAAAGCACCACCAACATGTGTAAAATAGACGGAAGAGCCTGAATATACCACAAATTTAGCAAGCTGACAGAAAGGCAACTGGAAACATCCTGGCCTATGTCATCCAAAGATGTGGGACCTGGTGGCCAAGATATTAGAGCGCCATCTTTGAGCCACAGCATCCACAGGTGTATAATTCCCAGCATGATTATTCACTGTATATTAACTACGTCAACAATGTATTACATCTCACATCTCTGCTGAGGTCTTGAGTTGCAACTTACAACCTCTAATAAACTCATTTTTGGTATTTTTATGGAGACAAAGTTGCTTTATGTGCTTTTATGTGTAAAAAAAATGTTTCTATGCAGTCTATGGCTTAGGCAGTGGGAGGCATAGCTTGCTTGGTAGCCCAATAAGTGGCCTGTCTATGCCCATTACAACTACAGTACAACATTTGGCGCAGGTTAAGTTCTGGTCATGCCACAGTTTGTATTTGAGTGTACCTTTCCTCTGGTAAACACAGACAGAGTCCAGCATCAAAAACAGTTCTTCAATTCAATTCAATTCAATTTATTTGTAACATAAAATCATAAATATGATTTCAGTCAAATGATTTGTTGTCAGTTATATTTATTAGTGGTCATTATAAATAAATAAATGTCAATGTTTAGGATAAGGCAGGGTCATCATTCAGTACCCTTGTGTCCTGAGGGTAGGAGCTCCTCCTAAGCCTCACAGGGCTGGTCTGGTGTATCCGGTATCTTCTTCCTTACCTCAGCATAGTGAAAAGGCATTTATCTGGGCAGTGACTAGTATAAACATGTTTTATGCAGGGTAGAGCAGCACTTTTTGCAGGGCCTTGCCCCCTTCTCGGTCCCGTTTCCGTACCAGGCAGTGACGTTCCCAGTCAGGACACCGTTGATGGTGCAGGAGAAGAAATTCCTCAGTATTTGAGGGGATATCCAGAATTTCCGTCACAGTCTCTGCCTTGCTTTTTTCAAACAGTGAGTCAGTATGCACTGCCCAGGTCAGGCTCTCAGTGATGTGGACTCCCAAGGTATTTGAAGCTATCCACCCTCTCCACTGAAAACGTGTTTATATTATTAAAGGAGACCTATTATGCTTTTTGGCGTTTTCCCTCTTCTTTAGTGTGTTAGCAATTTTCTGCCTCTATAAGGTCTGCTTAGTTAAAAAAAAAAAAAGTCCAGGCTAAAGGGAGTTCTGTCTCTCCTCGGACACACAGCTCCTGACCTGCCTGAAACAGCTTGTTTGAATTTTATTTCCTAACAATGTGACAAATTAGCAATTACCTGCTGGCCACTGGGCTGCACCCCCAAACACACCTGCTGCGAGCAGAGCAGGAGCAGAGGCCGCAGAGTTTGAACCGCTGATGTGATGCCATGTCTAGGAGACCCTGCTTTCTTCATTGTGACCAAAAATTGTCCTTGTTTGGACTACCAAAGGATGAAGGCACAATGAAGAAGTGGTTGGAATTTATTTTTGATACAATTCCTCCACAATACAACCTGGATATTTTATTGTGTTTCCTCTATTTTCCTGAGGACTGCTTCACAAACTGGCAACAGTTTACTGCTGGATTTTCACAGCAGTTACTCCTGAAAGAGGGGGCATTTCCCTTTGTTGGAAAAATTTGGAGATTTGGGATGACAACCTGTGAGTATGTTTTATGAGTTGTGAATTTGTTATGTAAAAACAAACTAGGAAGCTGCTACTGAGTGTTTAAGTGTGGAGTAAATGGCTGTAGGAGCTAATGGTAGGCTGTACACCCAGTGCTTAGCTGTAGGCCTCGGCTAACTGGCTAACCAAAGCATTGTTTTAAAATGCTTTTGCTACTTGTCATACAGTAAATTAAACTGCTTGCTGGGTAGTCTCAGTAAGATGAGTTAAATGACTGAATTGCGGCAAATAACAGAGCTAAGATTGAGCAGTTTTTGCACAGCATGTGGTTATGGCTATATTAACCACTTTGACTCATTTTGGAGAAAGTCTGATCTGTACAAACATGATAATCTTCATCTTAACAATAAGTCCTGGCTTCCAACCTTTCCAGCCATTTATCTAGTCTTACTGACTGAATCTATGCCTCTATTAATGTAGCTGCAGCAAATGAAACTGGACCTCCTGCTCATATTTCCCCTACCCCACTAACTGCCACCCCAGCTTTCTCACCTGCCCCATATGCAGCCAGCTCTCCATTCTTGGAAGACCAGGCAGGTCAAAATTGTTCTTCTTATTACCCTATCCCTGTTATTGCCCACTATAGAGCATATGGACAGCTAGTGTCTGCTGGCAGGTGCCACCGGAGAGCAAACATCTGTCACCTCCGTCCTCTGCGTCGTGCCCCTGCTGGTGCTGCTCCTGACAAGTCTTCTGTCAGGATGGCTCTCCTTAATGCCCGCTCCATTTCAAATAAAACTTTTCTCCTTAAGGATTTATTTATTAGGGAGAACATGGAATTTCTGTTTCTCACCGAAACTTGGCAGCGTAATTTGGATTCTTCATTCATCAATGAACTCTGTCCTGCAGACTGCAGCTCCATCACCACGCCGAGGCTGTCAGGCTGTGGTGGAGGTCTTGCAGTGATTCATAGAAATCGCTTTGACTGTCGCTTAGTCAGCACTGAGTCTTTCCCCTCTTTTGAACTTAACATGACAAAAATTGGTCAGTTGAAGCCTTTTTATTGTATTTTAATTTATAGACCTCCTGGCCCAGCTGGTCCTTTCCTTTCTGATTTTACTGAGTTTTTATCTTCAGTTATAAAGTTTGATAAAGTTTTAATTCTTGGTGATTTTAACCTCCATGTTGATAATGCAACCTCTAAGGCTGCATCTGATTTTCTTAGCATCACTGAGTTTTTTAACTTTACTCAACATGTTTCTGGGCCCACACACAATGCTGGGCATACACTTGATTTAGTTCTTTCACATGGTATAATGGTTGATGATGTTTGCCTGGAGGATTTCCTTGTTAGTGATCATAAGTGTATTCTTTTTAATGCTTCCTGTAATGTGGAGCTGCTGCCTCAAAAACATATGTCCTCTAGGCGCATCGTAAACGAGACCACAGCTGAAAATTTTATTACATTATTTAACTCAGATGTGCTATATAATTTTAATGATGTGGAGACCCTTGTCCAGTCTTTTAATAAACAGTGTTCTTCTGTTTTGGATATAGTGGCTCCTTTTAAATCCAGACTTATACCATCTGTCAATTCCTCACCTTGGATCAATGAGTCAATCCGCAGCTTTAGGTGAAAATGTAGAAAACTAGAGCGTTTATGGAAGTCTACTAAGCTGGAGGTCCATCAGCTGCACCTTAAAGAGCTTTTAATCTGTTTAAACAATATGATAAAGGATGCTAGGACTGCTTATTTTGCCAACCTCATGTCTGCTAACAAAGGAAATTCAAAAGTTTTATTCAGGACCATTAACACCATTGTCTCTCCTACTGCTCCACAAGTGCCTGTCTTCTCTGATACTGATTGCAATAACTTTTTAAACTATTTTGTGAATAAAGTCTGTGATATCAGAGCGAATATCCTCCCATCTTCAAACCATCATAACTTTAGTGTTCCCTGCTATTTTAGATATTATTAATCTCTCTCTTATAACTGGCTCTGTCCCGAGCCATTTTAAACATGCCATAGTTCAACCTTTGCTGAAAAAAAAACAAATTTAGATCCCACCCTCCCGATTAATTACAGGCCTATTTCCAAGCTACCTTTTGTGTCCAAACTGCTTGAAAAAGTTGTTGCAGAGCAGCTCACAGCTGTATTAGAAACTCACAGCTTGTATGATTCCTGTCAATCAGGTTTCTGTAAAATGCATTCTACAGAAACAGCCCTGCTTAAAGTTACTAATGACATTATGATGGCAGCTGATGGTGGGAAATACTCTGTACTGGTGCTACTGGATCTTAGCTCTGCTTTTGATACGGTTGACCATGGCATTCTTTTAAACAGGTTAAACCAGTTAGTGGGTATTTCTGGGTCTGCTCTAGATTGGTTTTCCTCATATCTCACCGCAGGGTTCTGTTCTGGGTCCCATGTTATTTTCCCTGTGTATGCTGCCTCTTGGACAGATCATTAGTCAGTACAGCGGAATCTTTTATCATTTTTATGCTGATGATATTCAGCTATACTGCTCTTTTAAAACTGATGAATCCAGCCAATTGTCTATTTTAAATGATTGTTTGGATGCTATTAAAAGCTGGATGTCTGACAACTACCTCCAGTTAAATTTTAAAAAGACAGAATCACTTATAATTGCCCCGAAACACTCCATTCGTGTCATTAAGAATTCTTTGGGGCCTTTAAGTGCTCATGCTCAGCGTACCGTCAGAAATCTAGGTGTCATTCTTGACCAGTCCTTGTCCCTAGACAGTCATGTCAGTCAGCTTATTAGCTCTTGTTTTTTCCATTTGAGGAATATTGCTGAATTAAGATCTGTGGTGACTGGAGTTGAGATGGAGATGATTATTCATGCTTTTATTTCCTCTTGTTTAGATTATTGTAATGCTCTTTTTACCTGTTTAAACCAAACCACTTTGAACCGGCTCCAAATTGTCCAAAATGCAGCTGCTCTGCTTTTAATCAGTAGTAACAAGAGATCACATATCACGCCAATTTTATCCTCTCTGCACTGGCTACCGATCAAATTCCGCATTAATTTTAAAATTTTGGTTTTAACTTTTAGAGCTTTACATGGTCAGATGCCACAGTACATTGCCTACCTCCTTCTCCTTTACTCTCCCAATTTGACTCTTTGGTCCTCTGACCAGATTTTACTCACCATCCCTAGGACCCATTTTAAAACCCGAGGTGACCGTGCTTTTCAAGCTGTTGCTCCCAAACTCTGGAACGCTCTCCCCTTCTCTCTGAGATCCACAGATTCCTGTACTATTTTTATGAAGCAACTTAAAACATTTTTATTCAGACAGGCCTTTGGCTGACTGATTAAATGTTTTACCTCCTTTTATTGCTTCTTATGGGTTTGTTTTATTTGTGACCATTTTTTTTAAAATTGTATTTTCATTGTATTATTGTCTGTGTTTTTGCTTTTATTGTGAAGCACTTTGTGATTTTATTATCTGTGAAAGGTGCTATAAAAATAAACTTTACTTACTTACTTACTTAAGATGTGTCCATATTGACCAAAGTTGAAACATTTCTATGTGTGATGCCCGATCTAAGCAGCTAACTGCCGCTAGCTCGAGCATTTAGCCGACAGGCAACAGTTAGACCTAGGGTGGAATTCAGACCTGCATTTATTTGTCAAATTGTGTGGCTGTACTCGGAGTTTGATTGTGAATCGGCTTTTGAAGGGGACCTACTATGCTTTTTCCCTTTTCCTTTGTGTTTAACACAGCATTATAGCTGTAGGTCTCGGCTAACTGGCAAACCAAAGCTATTGTTTTGAAATGCTTTTGCTACGTGGTGTACAGTTAGTTAAACTGGCAGTCTCAGTAAGATAAATTTAACAATTAAATTGTGGAGAATCTAGCAGAGTTGACAGTGTGCAGCATGTCCATATTGACAAAAGTTTCAACATTTCTATCTGTGATGCCTGATCTGAGCAGCTAACTGCCGCTAGTTCGAGCAGTTAGATAGGCAGCAATCAGACCTGCATTTATTTTCTGTATTCGGAGTTTGATTGTGAATCGGCATTAATATACTTTTTATGAAAAATGTTCAATGTGTTTTTTTACTTGGAGCTCTGTTACATGGAGGCGGTTCCAGGGCCTTGCCGATGTGGCAGGCCTTGGGTATGATAATTTATAAAGGATTCAAATTTCAAAGAAGTCATCAACCATCTATATGGAAAAGCTTATTATATGAGATGCTTGCTCTAACCACTAAGCCACCAATTACATCTTAACATCGATTTTGTCCGCTAAAGTTCACATGCGGTCTTGTCAAACTGTTAGGTAAAAGTTGATATTCTCCAAGATAAGCTCTCATTGTTTTCCTTTTGTGCAACAAGTAATTTCATTCAGTAGGCTACAAAATTAAATGATGACATGACTTACTGTGCACGTGATAAGGCACTCCCATCTTGTTTGTGCACCCTTTTCTTGCTGCGGTCAGATCACCTGCATCTTACACGGATACACCAATGCTATTTTCTGATTGGCTGATAGGTAGCTGTATGTTATATTTTGATTGGCTGGTGGGTAGCTGTCTTATTTTTATTGGTTGAAGTGTGGCAAGCTCTTGTTGAGCTCTCCGGTAGCCACAGCGTCTTGCATCACGTTGCACTGCAATTATAACGATGTAACTTGGTGGACATTATCACAATAATTTTTTTATGCGTGAGAAATACCAGGTCTGGTGGGTGAGTGTGTGAAAAGGTTAAAATGCGCATTTCACACTCTCAAAGCGTGAGACTTGAGAGCCCTGCCGTTCACAATATTGTTACTATACATTGTTGGTAGTAACAGTTAGTTATACAGCTAGGGAGGTATTTATGTGATGAAAAGACGTTGTGTATGTGTCTGTCTCTACATGTGGTTGAATACCTATGTTTGGTCTGCTGATTTTACAGGGAGGGGACAACACTGTTTAGCATTTTAGATGTTGACTATGGATGGGTACTGAAATCCGGTACTAAATTAGCCCTGCTACATTATCAGAGACCATAGTATTGGTAAGCTCTGACCCCATCATTTCTTTTGTCAGTACTTTTACACATTTTGGTTTAATTCATTATCATCCTGCAGCCTCTCATCTGCGCTCTGTGCCAGGGCTGAACTCCTCCACATACACACACATCCACGCACAGATCTACACAACACAGTAATCGGTCAACAGCCGAGCAGCCGCAGTGGAAACAAAGTGAAGAACTCAAAAATTACTGGAGTTGACGGCAGCTGCACTCGTTTCTGTAAGTGAAATTAAACCTTCGCGAGTAAGAAGCATGTGTGCATGAACATGTAAACATGTAGACACTATGTTTAATATGCTCTGTCCACAGTCTCTCGCCACCGTCACTAAGGACTGCATGCTAGTTCAGCTAATAGCGAATTGTTACTAATAAGCTCAAATGACAGCTGTCTGTATGTAGACTAACTTAGTTTGACACTTTTGACACTAATGTTACCTGCACACAGTGAATCACATCAGAAGAGAGGGAGCAGGACAGAGGACAAGAGGACAGAGGACAGGAGGAATGACTTATAGTGACTAATAAAAACTAAACTTCACTCAGTATTGTGATATTATTTATATAGTGACGTTGTTGTAAAAATTACTGTTGCTGCTCTGGAAACTTCATTTAGTTATATTCAAAATATTCAGTAATCCTGTTCTGAATTCATTCTTTTTAAATTAATGTATTTTCTAAAAAGCAATTATTTAAAAATTAAAACGAACCGATAAAGTACCAAATAGATAAGGAGTATCGATAAAAGTAGTAGTATCGATAAAATCTACACATATTTTCTTTCATTTGGACTTTCGGCTGTCATCAACACCTATAAAGGGCATAGGTTTCAAACCAAGTACAAGACCTCATGTTGAGTTGGAGAAGAAAGAGGGAGAGAAACTTAAACAGAGCTAGCAGTACCTCATGACTCAACATGTAACCCTGGTGACTCTGTCATTACAGAGGAATCTGAGCAAAAATGTATTCTTTAGTTTAGTTGTACCCTCAGCAAAGGCTGTAAAAACAAGCCCTACATGCAGTAATTTGTAAATAATTTTATTTTTATTACCAATATCAGATAAAAAAATATGAAATAGTTGTGGCAACACTTGAAATATATACAAGAAAGGTGGATTCAGGGAAGCACTTAATTTAAAAACACAAGAAAATCAATATTTAAATGCAATATTTTACAGACTGTAGATGACCTGATGAGGCTCGTCTTCCCCAAAATCCCCATTCCAAAGGGCTTGGCATCCCAGTATGAGAGACCCTTAAAGGAGGAAGTGGTTGCCTTACATGTCTCTCACTTCAGCCAAGGGGTAGCTGGAGGCCAATGCAGTGACCAGCCAGATCAGGAATTCCTGGCATACCTGGAGTACAACACAGGATGGAAGGGATGCCTGAATGGAAAGAATTGGACACTATTAGTGTTGCAGATATAACGCTGCTGTGTTTATATAGTTTATAATAATAATAATGATAATAATACATTTTATTTGTAAGCGCTTTTAACAAATGTTCAAAGACACTTTACAGTTTTTAAAAAATCATAAAATAGAGCTAAGTCAGAATAAAACTTTGGAGGACAGGGGTGATGTGGTCTCGGGAGCGGGTGTGGGTGAGCAGGCGGGCAGCGGAGTTCTGGACGTATTGAAGTTTATTGAGGAGTTTGAATGATGAGCCATAGAGGATGCTATTGCAATAGTCCAGTCTGGATGTGATAAATGCATGGATGAGGGTTTCTGCAGCAGAGAAGGTGAGTGAGGGGTGGAGACGGGCGATGTTCTTGAGGTAGAAGAAGGCAGTCCTGGTGATGTGATTGATGTGGTGGTCAAACCTTAGCTGGCTGTCGAAGATGATTCCTAGGTTGCGGGTGTGCGGTGAGGGAGACTGTAGTGTAATGTACTGATTTACTGTAGTGTTCATACTGTACATTTAAGTTGACCTTTAAACATACGTGTTGAAGCAATGTACTGACAAGACACACTAGTTTATTATTTCATGTATTCTTATGACACACACATACACTTGTTGAGCACTTAAGCATTGTGGTGGAAAAGTACCTAGGATTCACTGTGCATCATTTCTAAAAATAGCATGAGGATGGGCTCAGAAACACTGGTGGAAAGTTAGGGGAATTCCAGCTTGTCCTGATATGACTCTAGAGGAGGTGGGCTTAGACTGCCCAGAAAGCATTACATGGTGAAATTGGCTCCAAGGAAGAGAAGGAGAGTGGGGATACTATTATGAATGAGTGCAAGTAAAGAAGCAGCCATCAGGGGGAGAACGGAGAAATGTGACACCGTTATGTTTCAGCTCCAAGGGGGAAGGACTAAAGGAAAAAGTGGAAACTCAGCAGAAATGTGACACCGTTATAATCAGAGCCAAGTGGGAAGGATTAAGAAAAAGACGACTCAGCAGAAATCTTCACAATAAAAACGAGTGCAGACAAAGAAATTCCAGTCCTGCTCTGGAGCTTGACTCATTGAGTTGTGATGTGTTTGTTGCCTGCGAGCACATTAAACTCAGTTGCATCTGATTCTACGTGTCTCCAGTGATTTTTTTACCTCTGAGTGGTGGGGGAGGTGCAGTTGTTTATACTGATGAACTGGTGTTGGTTGGTAAGGTAGGAGTGAATCCAGGAGAGTGCTGTGCCGGTGATGTGGAGAGATGATTCCAGTCGGGAGAGCAGGATGGAGTGACTGATGGTGTCAAAGGCTGCTGTGAGGTCAAGGAGGATGAGAATGTTGAGGTGTCTGGAGTCTAAGGAGAGGAGGAGGTTGTTGGTGACTTTCAGGAGGGCTGTTTCAGTGCTATGTTTTGAACGGAAACCGGATTGGAAAGATTCGAATGTTATTGGAGGTGAGGTGGGTTCTGTGTTGTGAGGCGACAGCACGTTCCAGGATTTTTGACAGGAAGGGGAGATTGGAGATGGGGCGGAAGTTACTTGGATTGTCAGGATTTAAACTGGGTTTTTTGATGATTGGTGTGATGGCAGCCAGTTTGAGGGTTTGGGGGATGGAACCAGAGCTGAGGGAGGCGTTAATATAATACCAGTAATGAGTGGGGAGATGACAGGGAGGCAGTCCTTAATGAGTTTGGATGGTATGGGATCCAGGGTGCAGGTGGAGGTTTTTATTCTGGTCATGATGGTTGTTAACTGTGCTGGGGATACTGGAGAGAAGTGGGACAGGGGCTGAATGGTGATGGGTGGTGAGGCAGGTGGGGAGATGGGAGGGATCCTGGCAGTGTTGAGGTTACTGTAGAGGGTGTTTATTTTTGTTTGGAAGTATGTTAAGAAGGACTGGCAATTTTCAGTGATGAATGATGAGGAGGTGTTGTCATGTGGTTTGAGAAGGGAGTTTATGGTGGAGAACAGAGCCTTGGGGTTATTGAAGCCAGAGTGGATGAGGTGAGAGTAGTGGGTGGACAGGGCAGTGTTGAGTGCATCTTTGTATTGTTGTAGGTGGTTGATGTAGGCTAGGAGGTGAACTGATAAACTGGTTTTCTTGCAGGGTCATTCAAGTTGTCATTTGCGGGTCTTCATTAGGCTTGGGCGATTGGACAAATATATCGCCCATCGACTGAGTCCATCACGGTTGGTTTTATTTTTGGCGATTTTTTTGGGTGATTTTTGTCATTTTATTTTGCTAAATTAATGGTCTGTCTCCACAGAATTCAACTCGGTACATATAGTTCATAATTACTATATAGAGCACAATTCAAAATGTGCGCATATTGGAAATGGCAGCTTCACACTGATTTCCAACGAGTCTTTCACAAAACACGTCAGTGATGGCGGAGCTGAAAGTAACGTTAATTCATAAACCATATTTGAGAACTACATCAATTAAGATGTGCAGTTGTGCACCCTGATCGTTATAGTAGGACAGGTATGTTATCCCTATCTCCCACCTGTTTGCTCATTTAGAGGCTGTGAGCGAATGCGTCCTTCTGCAGCTATCAGACTCTTTTTAAAATGGTGTTGGACAGTCATCTTCGGCCCGTCTTTACAGCTTATTACTCAGCAAAGATCTCAAGGTGATTTATTTTTTGTTAAATGAATAACAATATAGCCTATAGGCTGTATGTTTCAGTAAAACTTAAGCTGTTATAGCTGTTCTAAAAGCCTCTCGTGGGCTTATTGCTTGAATAAATAAATAAAAATAATAATAAAAAATGTCCCCCAGCGAGTTGGACAATCCTTAAAAAACACACCCACACAAACACACAAAATATTTAGGCTGATGTTGTTAACTTTCATCCTGGCACACACTATGTGTGCGGCGACACATTAATCCACAATTTCCTTATAAATATATTTTGTGCTGTACTCAAAAATTCGAATATTCAGCCTTTTTTTCCTCCCGTTTTTTGGGGGGACCTGGAACGCAACACTAACCCCGCCGGCCCCATTAAGCCAAGTAAAGAAGTCATCTGGTCTGACTGTTGCATGAATTGCCTAAAAAAGTTTCACAGTAAATCAGACAACAGGAATATTATTATTGCCACGGGTTATTTGAAATGGACAAAGGTATTCTTTACTGGTGAGTTAAGGGAGAATAGCTATCATGTAATTAAAAAAGAAAACATCTCCGACAAGGAAATAGAAAGCCCGACATGCAATGAATGGAGACCTATTATCCTCTTGAACAGAGACGACTAAATTCTTTCAACAATGTGACTCAAAATAATGATAAAATAGATTTTGTTGAAGTAAAATAATATGCTGATGGTGACATTTTCCACCGGTCCACTGCGCTCTGAGTCTGGTGTCAGTGACACATGCTGCTCTGAGTCGTGCATCTGTCTGCTTGCGCTGCAGTGCGCGCCGAGGGTTTTAATTTTTAGTGTTAAATCAAAAGTTAAACACTACTTATCAGCAACCAGAAGTGTTTTTTCATTTGTGAATATTTTTATCTTAATTCTAGGGTTGCAAGAAACTACCTTTTCGCCATAATTTTTTAGTTATTAAAAATTCTAGCAACTAGAAGAAATGATTTTAAATTAAGTTAAATAAGACCAAAATATGCTAGCATATAAATATTACCGTTATCAGGGAATGTTGTGGCAGGTTAAGTTCCTCTTGTGCCTTGCACACAAGACACCTTTTCCTCTCCGATTCCCCATTCTTGAGCGCACTCTCGCACCTCTTTAGCCAGCACCGTGGCTGTGTGGTCATCAGGAACATATGTTGTTTCCAGACATTTTGTTTGAAGTTCCCAATTTTCAGTAATGTAATGCGCAGTTACACTAATATAGGGGGCCATGTTTGTTGTTGACCACATGTCCGTAGTCAGAGCGACAAAGTCCGCTGCCTCCAGCTCTTTACTTAGTTCAGCCCTGACTTTGTTGTAGAGATCTGGTATGGCGGTTTTAGTGAAGTACTTCCTCCTGGGAAGCTCATGCTGCTTATCGAAAGTTTTCAGCATCTTCTTGAAAGAATCCTTTTCCACCGTGTGAAAAGACATCATATCTTTGGCCAGATATCTAGACACAGCCAGCATGTACTGTGTCCATCTCGGACTGCCCTTTGGATATTTAATGGATTTGGCAAAAGCAGCTAAGATTTTCGGCAGGTGAAGCGTGGCTTTTCCAGTGGCAGTTTAGGGAGCCGCCTCTCTCGGTGTTAACTTGGCGTGCTCTTCAGGATGGTGTATTTGCAAATGCTCTTGCAAAGTGGTGGTGTTAGAATCTTTTGCTGGCACCACCCGTTTGCATAGACGGCAAATTACCTGACTTGTGTCTTTGGGCTTGCCGGTTGCGTCCAGTTTAAATCCAAAATAATCCCAAATCCTCCACTGCAGTAGCCTGAGACCCCGCCCCCTGCGCTCGCAAAGCACGCTGCATTTTTTTGCTGCATTCATGTGGTGTCGGAAGATCCAAGTTGCCGAGTTGTTTAGGCTATTTATTTATTTATTTATAAGGATCCCCATTAGCTGTGCCCTAAAGCAGAGCTAGTCTTCCTGGGGTCCACATTAAACAATACATTTAAAACATACAAGTTGAGTTGTTTTTCTGACCTAATTGTATTGCGGAGTTTTGCACAGCGGCGACCGGATCTTTGCTCTCAAACCACAAAAAAATGTGATGGCACAACAGTCTCCTTCAGTACATTATTCTATGCTTTCTATTATTCTATTATTATTCTATGCTTTTAATTTTCACATTGGCCTAGTCATCCTGTTTAATTTGTCTTCTGATTAAATTGGAACCGTTGAAACAAGTTGTAGGAAGTCTCTGCAAGTAATTGGTTACTGGCAGACACTCTGTGCTGCAATAAAATGGTTAATCAGTAGTGCCGTGCACTGTAGAGCCGATGCGCTGCTGGTTCTGCCGGTCTGAATAGAATATAATGTCTATAGCCTTACTGTTGTGTGTACAGCCTTATAGACTGAGCTGAGTAGTGATGCGCGGGTCGAACCGTAACCCGCAAATGGACCTGTGGGTCGGGCAGCAGTGATCGTCTGTTAAATCGGTCTGTAAATGATATTTTGACATTATTGGCTATTACTGTCATGGCATCCGAAGGTACTGATGCGTTGAGCAGGTGACAGTCCGCGGTCGTTTTCAAAACACACTTGTGTCATGCACTCCAAAAGAAACTTGTTGAAACTTTATACAATAATTTATTGTACAAAAAGGGGGAAACAAACGTTGACAAAAACGGTTCCATAATTCATATTAAATTCAAAAGATAACAAAAAAACAGCTACAAGTTAGAGGGAATAGTGATAAAGTGGTAAAACTTGGCATTGATCCACAGCCTCAGACGGATGCGCTCAAGCATGCTGTGCGCACAAGCTCAGTAGGCTATACTATATTTTCACATTTTTAACAATGCAATTTAAAAGTTTTGATTTTTATTGATAACCTACATTTACCAACAACAAAAAGACTACATTTAGCACCAAAAAAGTATGTTTAAAATTGTTTTTTTTTTTTTTTTTTCAAGTAAATAAAAAAACGAATATCGAATACCAAATTTTCATAACGAATACCTACCCATAGAAACAAATATTCGAATATCTGAATATTTGGGTACAGCCCTACTGTCAATGTGTAGATTGTCACCCAGGAGGAGAACAGATGGTGAGATGGCAGATAACTGGGTCAAAAAGTCAGCAAGATCAGAGAGGAAGGAGGGATGTGGTTTGGGGGGGCGATAAATGATGGCTGTGACCAGAGGACAGGGACCAGAGAGTTTGAAGGTGAGGTGTTCAAATGAGGGGGCAGGAGGGATGGAGATTGTGGTTGTTTTGATATTTTTCCTGAAGACGGCAGCAATGCCACCTCCCTGGCCTTCTGTACAGGGTTTGTCCATGTAAGTGATGCATCTGATGATGGTGTGGATGTGAGAAATAACAGGTTGTAGTTGTAATGACTGTTGAGGCCGAGGAGGGGAGCTAGAGGGCAAGAACGAGCAACGTGGTGCCAGTGGAGCTTTGGGAGGGGAAGAAGAGTGAGTGGTGGGGGTGTGGCAGGTAAACGGTCATTCACGTTCACGTGTAGCAGTCTGGACGGCGTGTTGCAGGTTAGCCGTTAGCATGCGACTACTGTGCCAGTTTGGATGGACGCTGTCAGCTCTGAGAAGGAGGGAGCAGTTCCAGAACAGACTAAAATTGTCTATGAAGTTGATATTGTGAGTGAGGCAGGTGGACTGTAACCAGGCACTGAGGCTAAGAATCCTCGAAAAACCCTCTGCTCCACGGGCCGCGGTGGGAATCGGCCTGGAAATAAAAACAGATTTCCCACAGCTGGTTAAAAAGTTTAAAAGGTCCTTAAAGACATTTTTTGTCAGTTTGGACTGTCTACAAGCGGTGTCATTGGAGCCAACATGAACAGCCACTCGTCTTATGGAGGACAGAAGAGAGCACAGCAGCACCGGGACTTTTCTCAGTATGACGGGAACTGTGGACCCAGGGAAACAGTGTGTGGCAGCGTTGAAAAAGCAGACATTTCTGATTATTGAGTCTCCAACTATTAATGTGGTTGGGGAGAAGAGTGGACGAGGAGGTGCACCGTCTGTCACTTGACTGTATATTTATGTATGTATCCATCTATTGTATATTATTTAGTAAGGTTTTTGTAGTTTTTGTTTTTTACAATTGCAAAAAAATAAAGTTCTTCTGACAAAAGACTAAATTGTCGTTTCTTCATAAGTGGGTTTTTTGGTATAAAGAAACCTTAGTGTTCAGAGTTGGGTTTACACAGTCATACCTGTAAATGTTGCGGATGTTCTGTGGAGTGTATTCAAACAGTCAGGCTCCTTGCCTGGATGGTGTATCAAACATGTAGGATGAACTGGAACCTGGTTCATTACCCCCAAACCTAATAGGTAAAAAAGACACAAGGCATACCGTTTAATAAGTAAGCAAATAAAGTCTCAAGAGACAACATCACTGCATAGAACAAATACTGAACCAGGAAGCAAAATGTGTTTTACTATGAAACTTTGATTTCATGTAAATGATGTGGAGAAATTGGGTGAAGATTATAAAATGCAGCTACATTTTAGTAGAATGATTTCAGTAAACATAGCAGCTAAGACATCTGAATGTACTAGTTATTTCTATTCATTTGTTTTTGTATAATACAGAAATCTGTCATTTCTCTGGGGTGGCAGTAGCTCATTCCATAGGGACCTGGTTTGGGAACCGGAGGGTTGCCTGTTCGAGTCCCTGTCCGGACCAAATATGGAGCGTGGCTGGAGAGGTGCCAGCTCACCTCCTGGGCACTGCCAACTTGCCCTTGAGCAAGTTGGCAACTTGCCCTTGAGCAAGTTGGCAACCGCTCAGGGTGCCCGACCAAGGCATCTCTCCACTTTGTGTATAGGTCCTGTTTGTGTTTGTTTGAATTTAAATTTGGGATTAATAAAGTATATAAAATTAAAAAAAAAAAAAAAAATCAATTTGCTGTGGAAAAATTGATGAATTCACGGGTTAAAACTTGTGTGGTTTTAACGGTGAATGTGTTAGAAGCAGAATTTACAATAACTTTGGTATTTTTACCCAATACAAGCTACATCAGTCTGATTATAGATAAGCCTGCTAAGATAAAAAATAGGAGTTATGCTTTACACCACTGCATATAAAAGCTGAGTGCTGCTGTTGGTGTTTCCACGTTATGTAGTAACCGGCTATATTAGAAACATTTTGTACTCTGCAGCAGACGTTTTCAGCTTTAAACAATCAGAGGAAAGACATACAGTAGTTACCATAATGTTAGATACGTTACAGTTATCATGTTACAGCTGAAATATAAGACAGCTACACAATAAAAACTTACCACTGTGAAACGTCCTGCTCCAGTCTTTGTTGCAACGGTGCTTCGTAGTCTATCAGTTCGCGTTTCTTCACTCAAATTGATAATGGTGGACGGCTGCTGTCGTTAGCTTAGCCATAGCTTGTTGTTTGCAGAGGTCAGATAAGGTAAGGGGCATGATGTTTCCGATACATGCTCTAAGCGTTGCACCAATCACAATAGACTGAGCGAGCTGACCAATCAGAGCAGACTTGGCTGCTGGGGAGGCAGGACATAAGCTCCAACACAGCGTTTCAGACAGAGGTGCTGCAGCAATGAGCGGTAGAAGACAAATAATGTATGTCTGAACATTAAAGCGCATAAATATATTCCACTAGACCCAAAATTACATATTTATATCAGTATGACCCTGAAAATAAGCACAATAGGTCCACTTTAAGAGGAGCGTAGTTCCTTTGCTGCTTCTTCCCAAAGTCCACCATCATCTCCTTAGCTTTGCTGACGCTCTGGAATTCTACCATTTTTTCCCCAGTAAAAGGGGTTTTTGGTTGTTGTTTTTTTAAGTTTTTCCTTATCCATTGTGAGGGTCCAAAGGGCAGAGGGATGTCATATGCTGTAAAGCCCTCTGAGGCAAATTGTTATTTGTGATATTGGGCTTTATGAATAAAACTGATTGATTGATTGATTGATTGACTGACTTATTTCTGTAGTTTTACAGATTAAATCCACCACAGACTCAGTGAGTTCATTTATGTCATCAGTGATGTTGGCGGTGGTGTCCTGGAACTTTCTCCATACTGCCTCTGATTGAACTGACCATTTCCAGACCTCTCATGTCGCTGTGGGGATGCGCAGAAGTTTGTTTAGATTATTTGATCTCAATAGGATGGCCATGTGGTTGCTTTAGTCGAGCAGGGAAAGGGATTTTGCTCTGCTGCCCTTTCTGAACCCTGTATAAAAGTGATCCAGTGCCCTTATTCACCCTGTGGCTCAGTCAATACTTTGATGGAAGTCAGGCATAACTCTCTGAAGTCTTGCTTGATTGAGGTCTTCAACAACAATGAGCACAGCTTCAGGATAACTGTCCTGTGAGCAGGTCAGGTCTTTGCAGAGATCTAACAGGGCAGCCTTTGTATTTGCTCGTGATGGAATGTAGACCACTGTGATAATGACAGAAGTGAATTCCCACGGTAAATTGACAGTATCTCCAGGTCACGTGAGCAGGAACAGGAAAGCAGTTTAACATTCCTACTGTCACACCAGTCCTCTGTTCTGTCACATCGATATACAGGACAAGAGTCACCTGGTTGAAAGGCGCTATCCAGTATTTCAGGATTTAGCCAGGTTTCTGTGAAACAAAGAATATTACAGTTCCTGATTGTATGAGGCAAGGTTAAGTTTGCTGATTTTCTTATTTCTCCTTATATTATTCTAATTATTCTAATATATACATTTTGTAGTGTAGCTTTTGGGTTTGACATTCAATAATGGCCTAATTGTTTTGGATAAGTATGTTTTTATTGAATCTGATTATATGTTAATCTTTTCTGTCTAGAATAGGCTATTTCATTTAGTTTTGAAACTTGGGTACTGCAGCTTTAAGAGACAGCAGCCTCACATGTGGGCTTCAAGTGGGGCTGTTGAGCTGGGTAATTAGTGGACCCTTGAGTAGCTGTGGAGACACACAGTTTCCATACCATGTCCTGTTCTGTTTAGTTTGTCATTAAGAAAGGCAATTTCTGGGGATATTATGTGACACTTGTGGAATAAAAGTTTTTTTTTGTTTTCTCCAACTTTACATGGACGTCGAGTGGCTTATTGAAAACTCCATCGGATGGACACGTGTATGCCATGACTCACAGCTAGTTCACATTTTGCAGTAACACTGATGTCCCCCTGGAAGCTGACGTGAGCATGGACATTGTCCAGTTTATTATCCAGCACCTGTATGTAAGCCAGCAGGATACTCGGCAGAGAACTCCTATGTGGTCGGGATCTTAGCTGATGTTTGATCCCTCCATGTTTGCCTCGGTGCATCCTGCAGAGATGCAGATATGATCTTACTTGTCCGTGCAGTCAGGATTGTAGCTGGAGCTCATCTTTTCCACTTTTCCTTGATGTTGTTTCTGATGTTTACATTTGAAAACCTCCACTGGCCAGTTAGCAGAGTCAGCAGGAGGAGAGTTCACAAAGTGGTGTGTTGATTTCCTTATCCTGATGAGTGTCTCCAAGTTGGTCAATATTAGTCACAAAAAGTATAGCTGATATTTTTAAATACCTTAAATAGCACAGGTTAGCAACATTTTTTGCTAAAGTTGGAAGTTGGACAAAAGAAAAAAAAACATGCTAATGATCTTATTTTGTACATAACAACCCTACACACATGATCTATGACTATTTAAAGGAGAACACCACCTAAATCAGGAACTGACCATGGCTTAAAAAAGTTCAATCAATATCTGTGAACAGGAGCTACTCTCTCTCAAAGCCAGAAACCAGAGAAAAAAGTCTCTAACTTACAATGTCACTGGATATAAAGTCTGGAGGTGCATAGACAATGAATGGGAGGCTGAGTTTGTAGAGCCACAGCATGTTAGTTTTCTTTTTATAACCAAAATGATCTTTATTCTAGTACGAAGGAGGATTAGGGCCATGTTAAAGAAAAAAAAATCTTAGATTTTGAGAGTAAAGTCATAAATCTACGAGAACAAAGTCTTAAATCTACGAGAATAAAGTAGTAAATATATGAGAATAAAGTGATAAATCTATAAGATTAAACTCCTTATTTTAGTCCATGGTGTAAAAAGAGACAAAGTGTGTTTTTGTTGTCTGGTGCCATATAGTCAACAATGGACACGCATGCATGTAACAATTATGGCTAATTCTAAACTACTGTTGCTGACATAGACTCACTGCGTCATTTTAAATATTGTTTTTAAGGGACAAAAATGCTTAGAAAATCTGTAATATGGCAGGAGGGCACACAGCAAAATTCATGATTTAATGGCAGCCTGAAAACATGCTGATTTCACTTCAGAAAAATGTCCCATTAGTAGTATTAGCAGTAACATTAGGAATTATGGAGGCTGAGTTAATTTGTAACAACAATTGTGTTTACACCGGGCAAATCATCAAGTTGTGGGAAAAATCATGTTTCTTCATTTTTGTATGGATCACATCAAACATGAGTTTCAATTTTCTGACTATACCTGCTGGTTCATCCAACACTTTTATGTAGTCACTTCCCTCTATTTCCAATTCACACATTAAATGTATTTTAACCTCCTGCTCTCCGTCTGGATTTTGAGCATCATAAGAGTCACATGATTGCAAATAACCTAGTGTTCTCAGTTGTGAAACAGAAAATGTACCCATATACTTAGAACATTCCCTTGGGTGCTCTCAGTGTCATCTAGAACATCTTTCACCATTCACTATCAATGGAGCAGCTCCAGACTTTATACCCTATGACATCATACAGAGCAACCAGCACTCCACCCAACTTGGTCTTGGCAAGATGCTGGACACATCAATAAATCTGGCAGAGATGCACGCACACACGCACACACACACACACAACTCCCGGGAAGTGCAGTTTCTACCACCAGGGTTGTGCACAGGTGTGTTGTATACTGCCAAGAAGTAGACTACTGTAAGATGGTTACTTTTCCCTGTCTGTCTATTGTTGCCTTGTGTATGATCTGATGAAGATCATACACAAAAAAACTCTAACAATAAAGTCAAACACTGCATAGATGTAAGTGTGCAGTAATCTTTTCTACATCATATCCTATGACATCACAAATTTGAGTGTTAGCAGTTTTGGGAGAGAGCTGTGTAGAGATTTTTGAGAGTTTACTAATAGAAAACTACATTGAGGTGTGGGTTATTTCCAATATGACAATAAATGTCATTATACATGAGGCATTTTCCCAGTGTTCACTGTGCCAATTTAAGTTCTGCTCTAAGAGGACACATGTTTTTGTTCCTGTTCATCTGTAGTGCCTCGCCTACCTTGGAATTGTCCCATCCTTTATTATCTAATGAAACAGTCAGTCATGCAACTGCAGACAGTCATGACAGATCCGGCTGATATTTATCAGCTGCCAAAGCAAACAGGTTGTTCTATTTTAGTTTCTTCTAACAGCCCACACTGTGTCAATGAGTCCTTCCATGGATGCTGGACTCCTACCTCCACCCTCAGTGAGTCTACAACATTTTCCTGTTTCTCATTCCTTACCTGAGGGATCATCTTGAGTGTCAGTTGCCTAGCGATGGCAATAGACAATTCAGAGTAAGAGGCCCCTACAACAGCCATGACCAGCTGGTCACAAGTGTTGCTTCCGGCGTAGCAGTCGGCCTGCTGGGTGAAGTCTGCTGTAGCTCTCAGAGCTGTGCTGACATCAGAGCAGGAGTCCAGGATACGATAGCCGAGAGTGATGTTAACATCAGCCAGCAGAGGGGATTTATTCATGAGCTCTATGGCATTGATCATAGCCAGCACCTTCACCAGGTTTGGGAACAGTACAGTGTCAAATAATGAAGATGTGATAGACTGGAGAACTGATACAAGACATGCAAGGAGGGACAGCAAGGAAGAGAGTGAAGTACTACTTCAGTTTCAACACTGATATGATTTATTTAAAAAAAAAAAAAAAAAAAAGCTACCAGATAACATTATTTCATCCATTGTCAAACTGTTTCTTTTACTTTTTACCCCTTATTATGACATCAGTGTGAAATTATTCAAAATGAGTATCCAGCACCCAGGGCTTTGGTGTGTTTTCATCAGAATCAGTCTAACCCATATGCTGTAGATGCAAGGAGAACATTTTGTCTTGTTCTGTGTGGATGTATTACCACTAGTTCAATTTAGTAAAGTATTGCTCTAAAGTATTATGTTGAAGTTTAGCTAGTATTTTGGTTTTAGACTGGTTTATCCTGTTGTGTGATTATCCAGCCACACAGCCAGATCACACTCAGGTGCCCTCTGCCAAGTAGGTTAGGAGTGTGCCACATGCACTTTCATCGCCAGGCTCACTTTAGCTTTACTTTATGTGTCAGCATTAAAGACTGTGACAGTCATGGATCACATTTACTGCTTTCACACTGCTATCACAGACCTCTCCCAATCATGATGCAGTTTGGGTGTTTTCCTCAGAGAAAGCATGTTTCTTATCATGTTGCTTATCAGCCACACATCTACCAGTAGGCTTTTATATTTTAAACTGTGAAGCTCCAGAAAACCAGCCTTATTTAAAATGTTTTTACAGTTTTTGGTGGAGCTGTATGAACTATTTCCAATGCTTCCAACTCTAACACACCTGGTGATGTGCTTATGGAACTGTGCAGAATAATTCTGCAAAATTATAAGTTTGATGTGCACATATGTAAGAGGGTTTCTGTGGTTATTTTACAACAGTCTGATGCTGGTTACACAAAATGTAAGCAGTGGATCTGCTGTGCCAAATTGTGGCATGACAGTGCACAACATCACTCCAGTTAGAGACTGCAGATGGAAGCAGATACCTGCTGCCTTCAGATGGCTGTGAGGAGAGTCTCTGGTGTACAGGCAAGACCTTCAGTACAGTATTAAGGCCAACAGAGAACAAAAGTGTTAAAATTTGCATGTTGAAAAGAACCCTTCTGAGAGCCTGTGAGCACTTACATCAAAAACTACCAAAAACAGCCTAATTTTGGTTGGAGTTCGACCCACTATGCTGGCTCTCTGTAAATATACTTACCTCATGCACACACAGTAACCAAAACGTGGGAACAGTTTAATTGAACAGAGGTAACAAATAATATCTTGTGCGCACAAAGTAACCAAAATGTGGCCTCAACTTATTTATTTTTCCTCTCTATGGTCACTCCCGGGCTCTGTACATTGTAATTTTTACCCATTACATTTAGGCTGTTTGTAATAAGTACTGGTTATTATACAGACGGTTTTACAAACAAACATAGCATCAGTTTTGGAAAAAATTGTGATATTTTAAGCATTAATAATCCCTATCCCATTTGACACTGGGCGAGAGTTGGGGTACACCCTGGACAGGCTGCCAGACTATTACAGGGCTGACGCATAAGCCCCGTTTCCACCAAGCAGTACGGTACGGTACAGTTCAGTACAGTGTGTTTTTTTCTGTTTCCACAGTGAAAAGTTGTGGATAGTAGTACCAATAGAACCTAGCTCACAGATGTGAGCTGTGAACATTGCAGTCCAGTGATTGTTCAATAGCGGACGGTCACTCTGTTCAGGGCTGAGTTGTGGCTGGTTTTGAGGCTTACATAACCTCGGTGGAGAGTTTTATAAGTAAACTGTAACTATAAGATGAAAGGATGTTTTGTTGCCTCTCACAGCAGCTGGAGTCGGAGAAATTTTTTTTTTTTAATTCACTGGGCTGACTGCCAACTTTTAAGGTGGGACGTTAACTTGTAGTAACACTAAAACCCCTGACCTTGCCTGAGGACTAAATGCATTTTTGAATATCCCATGGAGAGAGACTCTCACTGCAGCCTGTTCTATTTTGTTCTGAAAATGTCAGCTTGCAACCCTGGTGTGTTTACGATAAACGAGGTGCAGACTTCCATCTGTATCACCGGAAATGAGGAAATACAGCGAGTGCTGGATGTAGCAGTAAGACAACAACCCCGGCAACATTTAAGGGTACTGTTTGCGGTGGAAACGCTAGGGTCTAAGTACCGTGTCTGAAGGGGTTCTTCTGATTCCAAAGGTACCATACCGAAAGTGGTGGAAACGGGGCTATAAAAACAGACAACAATTCACGCTCACATTCACACCTACGGCCAATTTAGAGTCACCAATTAAGCTTCATGTCTTTGGACTGTGGGAGGAAGCTGGAGTACGAGTGTCTGACATGGGAAGAACATGCAAACTCTACACTGAAGGGCTCCCCCATCCCAGGGTTAATTATATTATGTTGTCTATTAATGTTGTTGTAATGTTGTTAATGTATGTTCCTAGTGTTATGTATATTGTTACTTTATTTTACATTAGTCTCGCTGTGTCTCTTATTTTAATCCTTTCAAGAACGTAACAACATAACTTCATGCTTCAGTGCTATGATTACTACTTTTATACTTTTGATACTTTATGTACATTCAGTTTCTAGAGAGAGAGAGAGAGAGAGAGAGAATAATACACTTACATTCCGTGTGCAAAGCCAGAGGGATTATTCCCGTGAAATGCATATCTCCCCTTTCTTACAATGTTACAAAGGGTTGGGAGCAAATACTTTAAAAAGGCTGACCATATTCTCTCAAACTGTCCATCTCTATTTAAGATTCCTGAAGCTTAAAGGAGAACTTTTGGGAGCTTGACTAATTGCACCCACAGAGTCAGGGCCAAAAAAAGGATAAATGCAGACTTGAATTGAAAGAGTTAAATAAGACTGGCTGTTTATCATTTATTGCATTGGATTGAAAGATCTCACCTGATACATGGTTGTAAGTGGGGTGCAAAGGAGTTGTTCATTTTGTCTACATCCTCATGAACGGGAAAGATTCCTCCGATGATGATATCTCCTGGGGCTGTAACTCCCAGCATTCTGCTGTCCTCCTCAGTACCATGTCCCATTTCCAGAATAAAAAGAAAAAGTGTGATGTGCAAATAGATTAGAGGAGCAACCCAGGCCATTCTGCTGTCCTCTCTGCTTTCTGTCTGGGGTTGGTTCCTAAACTCTCCACCTCTCCTCTCTCACTGGCCTCTCTGTAGTTTTTCACCTCCAGCACAGTGATACCCGCCTTTTTAAGCATTGTCAACAGACTTAAAAAAAATCCCTCTTGCTTCCTCCTCCATAGTTTTCTATTCTCATATTCTCCCCTGCAGCTCTGCCCACTTCCTTATGAGTGACAACAGGGTGAGTCACTGTTCTGCGGAAGCTGCTAATCTGTTATTCATATTTGGTGCTGTGCGTGAGCAGTGATTGAACTGATTGAAAAAAGGATTATGTGACAGCTCACCTTTCACCTGCTGGAAACAACCTGCATGACTGCAGTAAGTAAGAAAATGTTAGGTGATTGTTGGTACTAAATGGTTGGTACTATCTATGCAATTAAAGGTTTCTGATATTAAATAATGTGTTAATGGGAACACTACCTCATATTTACTGGATAATTACAATCTTACAGTATATCATACATTGTGTGATAAAACAGAACTAATCACCAAAAGTTAATAGCATTTACTGGTCTATATATATTAAAATAATCACAGGAAAGAGAGAAATGATATCTACACACTGAATCTGAGCTCAAAAATAATATTTTGTATGTTTTTTAAAGTTTCTCAGAGCCCGAGGTGATGTTTTCAGGTGCATTGCTTCACCAAAACAGCCAGTAGAAGGAAAAAAAATAAATTAAAAAAAAATACATATACATACATACATATATATATATATATATATATATGTACATACTGTATATATGTTTAGTTTATATTGATAAAACAATAAACCTTCACATGAGAAGCTTCAACCGGAGACTGTTTTATTTCAATGGTGTTCATTATGTCTTTAGTTTCTGATAATGACTTAAGTTGTTCTTTTATCTCAGACATGTTAGGATGTTACATACCTTGACGTGTTTCGGCGGAAACTTCCACCTTCCTCAGAAGTGTCACTTGGTGGTGGTTGTGACGCGTCTTTATCAGCTGATCTGTCAATCAGCCGATATTAGGGAGGCGTGACAGGACGGTCACGCCACCTGCTGTCCGTCTGCCGCCTCTCCAGGACGCTGCTCCAGGTGTGGGAGAGCATGTATGCCCCCTCGTCCCTGTTCATCGTCCCTGGGTCCCGCTTCCTTATTTCAATAGCCTCCCTGATTCAGCGCCGGTATTTGTTGTCCTCGGTGTGTATGACTCTGGCCTTGTCCCAGTCCAGTCAGTTTTTGACGGGACGGTCACACCTCCCTAATATCGGGCCCTTAGCATATACTAGCATATACTGTATGGGCCACAGGTTTTGAGTGCTTCCCTGACCCAGTAACAAGGCGTGAAAGAAGCCTTCTACGTCAAACTGGAATGACCATTGTTAAACAGAGGAGGTGGCCTATGACACCACTTATCACCCACCTACAATTCAGTCTTGAGATCAGGGGCGGGCTGGCCATAGGGAGGTTCGGGAGGTTTTTTTACCCCATAAAACGTAGCCACGGTTGACCGCAGCAGCCTGCCCCCGCAGCCGCAGGTGGCAGTGGCACAGAGTGGAACATCAGACTGGGTCAGTCTAATATTTTGCATATTAAGGGGGGATACAAGCGGTTAGCAAGCACTGCCTACATGGCCCTATCATCCCAGGCGGGTCAGGCCAGCCCGACAAACCCGACCGGACCCGTGGGTTCGGACCGAAAAAATATGCAAATGACTTGGGCCGGGTCGGACCTCGGGCTTCCTTTTTTTCGGGCAGACAATTAGGCTAATGCTGGTGTGTCGGCTGCGTCGGGTCTGGGCTTAAAAACCCGCAGGGTCGGGTTGTAAGTTTCAGGTCCATTGAGAACTCTAGTTTGCGTTTTTGGATGTCTTCAGGGCACACAGAACATGAAAGGTAGCCTATCAGCAATGTTACACCATACGTGCATAAATCATTAATCTGCTTTATCAATTAAAAATAAAATCCATACTGGCTGACCAGTACGCACAAATTTCTTTATTGCAAAAGAAAACATAGCCTATTTCAGGAGAGAGTCTGTGTTCAAAGTTAAAAAGATAATATTGGAATATATAGGCTATACAGCTGTTTTCCTGTTCTGTTTCTACATTAATATATAGCCATTTTTACCAGCTCAAGAAAAATACATTTAAGTGAGTAATTCATTTACAGTGTGTGTGTGTGTGTGTGTGTGTGTGTGTGTGTGTGTGCGTGCGTGTGTGTGTGTGTGTGTGGCGCTTTTGTTATGTTGATTTTTATATTGTATTTGTGTTCTAACACTGTGAATTCTTTGCAAAAGTGCTATAACGTTTATCATTGTTGCTGTTATTGTTATTATTAGCTGACAAGGCCAGTGTCAGTCGTGGAGTTGATGCAGAGGGACAGGATAATGCCAGTCATAGGACTGAGGAGGAGGAAGGAGGAAGGAGGAGGAGATGGAAGAGGAGGTGGAGGAGAAGAAGGAGGAAGAGGAGGAGGAGAAGGAGGAGGAAGAGGAGGAGGAGAAGGAGGAAAGTGGAGCAGGAACCACCAAAAAAACAGTGCCAGGTACAGGTGCAGTGTGCAGGACTGGGTTGGCAATAGGTCTTTGCATAAAATTATAATGTATTCAATACACTCTACTGACTGACTAATCTGTGTGTGTTGTGTTTAATATCAGTAGATGTTTTTATACTGCAAATAAAGTATTCGTGTTAAAATTATGGTTCCACTTGCGTCCGTCGTGCGATCGGAAAAAAGGCCTCTCCAAATCAAGCTCTGACTAAGCCAGGGCTAAAGTCAATAGTCAAGGGTGTTAAAGGGATCTCTTCCACCAATACACAAAAACATTTTTGTTCAGATTTTGTGGCATCTGACCTTTCAGATAGTTTTAATTGTATGTGATGCATAATATATAAATATCTTTATCCACCCTGAAACAGTGGAGGTCAATGAGACTTTTTTTGTGCCGCTGACAACACTGAAATATTACATTTAAACATTCAACAATAGCCTGTCATTCAAAAAACAATATGCTGGTCCTGTACAGAAAGTGCTGGGGTTGGGCAGAGGATGTACTTTATGTCACTTTTTCTTTTCCTTCTTAGATGTTTACTTGTTTTGGTCTGTTTGTGTGTGTGTGTGTGTGTGTGTGCGTGTGTTTGTGTGTGTCTGTGTGTTTGTGTGACATTACAAGTACCTGTTTGCTCGTTCACAAATAGCCTTTTGGCTGGGTGAATTTTCACATTCAGTGTGCCATGCCATGTCGAGCTCTTCTGTCATGGTCTGCTCCTTTGATAGTAAACGCTGTAAAAATCCAGTAAAGAGACTCATTTAACTAAAAAAGAATATAAGAAGCTGAAAAAGACTGGTTATGACAAGTGTATATTTCTTTATTTAATGGCAAAATTATCAGTAGTAATACATAAATATAGCTGCAAGAGGCAATTCCAGGTTTAAGCCCTTTCTAGGCCAATAGAAGGAAGCAGTTTAATTACCAAAATTAAAGCAGTAAGCAGAAGTAAGCAGCAGGAAGTGGGTAGTGGGCTTCAGAAAGCCGAGAGCAGAGCAAAGTCATTTCAGCTGGTTTAATTTAATCTAAAGACAGGGTGAAATCATCACACACTTGTTTTATCATTACAGTGTATGCAGAATTTCAATGATTTCCACACATAGTCCTTCCACTTAACTCCCTTTCACAAATATGCATGTTCAGATCTTAGTGCAGGATGTCCACACTGAGTTCAACTAAGGCCTAGTTCAGACCAAAGTTTTGTGATGAGACGAGTTGAAACAGGCAACTACTGGCAATGCGCCATTCTGCAACATTCTAAAAACCTGCTGGTTCACGCCAATTCAACTACGTAAGACGTATCATCCCCATGCAACAACTCTCTGTATTTATGTTCTGATTTAAAGTTTTTCAGGCTTATTTTGTGGCTGAATATAATTTGTAGCTTCTGAAAATATGAATTAGGATAGTGATAGTGAGATACTGGCTACAATTGCATTTGTAGTAGTGATGAAACAGAAACAAAATGAGCATCAGATGAACTGTATTCATAATCAATACGCCACAATAATATAAGTAACCAGCGCCAATTAATCAGTCAGTGAGAATGTGTGTGTGTGTGGACGGGGTATATGCACATACAGCAAGCAGCAGCAGTGATCCCACCATCCGACACCAACGGAAACAGAGGGCTCGAGGAAGATGGAGCACCTGTCACAGCAAGCGAACATGCCATCTGCTGTCATTTCAACTTGACCAGCGGCCTTCACTATAAGCCGACTGGCTGTTGAAACAGGTGACGTGCTTTACGTTTTTATTTATTTATTAATTTATCCTTTATTTAACCAGGTTAATCCCATTGAGATGGGGGATCTCTTTTTCAAGGGAGACATGGCCAAGGCAGCAGTGATACAGTTACATAGTTACAGTTGACAATAGTTAGAAAAACATTTACAAACACAGAACAAACACTCATACAATGAGATAAAAACATTTACAGACCGAAAGCCTAGACTCCAAGATTTCACTCTCTCTTTAAAATCAAAGGAATCAGTGTGTGTAAATGTAGTTCAGACTGAAGCTTGTTCCAAAGAACAGGAGCTGAAAACCTAAGATTTCTTTCCTGATTCAGTCCTTATCTTTGGAACAACCAGTTTCAAAATGTCCATCGAGCGGAGATTGTGACTTCCTTGTTTCCAGGCGTAAAGTGAACTTAAATAAGAAGGAAGTCGGACTTCCAGTGGTGCTGAAGCGAATTCAATTCAATTCAATTTTATTTATAAAGCCCAATATCACAAATCACAATTTGCCTCACAGGGCTTTACAGCATACGATATCCCTCTGTCCTTTGGACCCTCACAGCGGATAAGGAAAAACTCCCAAAAAAAACCCCTTTAACAGGGAAAAAAAACCGGTAGAAACCTCAGGAAGAGCAACTGAGGAGGGATCCCTCTTCCAGGACGGACAGACGAGCAATAGATGTCGTACAGAACAGATCAACATAATAAATTAACAGTAAACCGTATGACACAATGAGACAGAGTGAGAGA